ATTATATTTATTCGTTTAAGTTTGAGGATTAACTGTTTCCTAAAGTTGCTTCTAACTAAGCTCTGCTAATTTTATCATCTTAATACTTCTATAGAGTCTCAACTGTGAGTAGTTAAGAATCTCTTACAGCAGGAGCAGTATTTGTTGGAGTTCCACCTAAATGAACAATCCTCTCTTAAGATAGTAAAAATGCTCAAGGATCTTAGGTATTCGCTATAAGTGATCCTTTAATTATGCATTTCAGTTAGTGAGGATATCTACTAAGAATAGCCTTTTTATTTTATATGTTTTGATGGACTTTGCATTTCGCTTAATATACTTCAATCATTTGTTTTAGTTAAGATATGTCTACAGTTTTGATCTAATCCTCATTTTTATGTTCATTGCTTTGTTTTTAAGCAGAAAATTAGAATTTCTTTGTAAAATCATCATCATAAATTGATGCTTTCGAATTAATTCATGTATTTTTTCTTATTTTATTCATCCATTCAATGTATAAATCTATTCTATTGGCAATCCTAACTTTACTTGAAGACTATGAATCTTCTTAAATTTTGTATTTATTTTTCTCTTTGGAGGAAAACAAAGCGCTTTAAAGCATTAGGATTTATCTTCTTCTAAACTCTTCATCTTTGATTAGCTTCTCAAATTTTTCGATCTACAGTTTGTAAGCTGTTTCATTCATGATTTTATCTTCATAGAAGAGGAATTTCTCCTCGAGATTGCCAATGTTATTGAAACTCAACATTAATTTGTATTTGAATTATTAAGTCTCATCTTGGCCAATTAAATTGCCAACAATGCTACTACATGGCTTAGCTGCTTTACTAGATTACTCTCTAGAAGATTTTAGTTCAAGTACTCTCTAGACATAATGAAGTTGATCTTGTGAAATAATATGGAATAGAGACTAATCTTAAACGAATGCATTCAATATTAAGTCTTTTATGCTCTGAATATTCCTGTCAAATATGTTTTGATCTAGTAATTTAACTGATTTTATTAGTCTGTATATCAATTAGACTTCATCTGTGTTGTTGTTATTTTTAAATCTTGTGTTTATATGTTTTATTTTCGAGTTTATTATTTCTAGAAGCTAATCTAAATTGTTTATCAATGGGGTTTTGGGGTTTTGGGG